TGGAGAAGCTATTGGAGTTACCGGCGACTTGGGTTGATTCGCTGGTGGTTGAACTTTTGTTGGAGGTTGCTTCGGCCTCCATACTTGGCGGGTTGGTGATGGCTTTTTGGCCACTCTTTCTTCCTCTAATTTCTTGGCCTCCTGTACAAGAATTTTTGCTTATGCGAGTAACGCGCGGCATTTGTGAATCCGCTCTTCAAGTGTCGAACGGTTCCGTTTGACCCGGATCCATTCGTTCGTTGGCGGCTTAGAGGAGCTGCCATTCTTCAGTTGTTGAGGCTGTTTGCCTCTCCTGTTCTTCAGATCCGTGTTGTAGCGGATCCCGTCAACTGACTCCATGGCCTTTGCGAATTGTTTCACGAGGCGTTGACGTTGCCTTTGGTGGGCTCTCTTCGAGAGAGTCACCACGCCCTCTGCGGCAGAAGGGTTGGCCAGAGCAAACCTGCCCTGGTTGGGAATTGGAGGAATCTCACCCGATGCGACTTTGGCATCAAACGGGGCGAGATCTTCGTTGGTGTTTTCAACGTCTTCATACCAACGAGTTTTTTTTTTCTGGAGGAGGACTTTTTGGACTTGCGGGGGGAGGTTGATCCGGACGAGGACGACAGGTATTCCTCGAACTTCTGCTGGTACTTTTTGGACTTGCGGGGGGAGGTTGATCCGGACGAGGACGACAGGTATTCCTCGAACTTCTGCTGGTTGAACTCGAATTCGACCTCCTCCACGACCGGGATTGAGATCCGCGGCTGCGACGCTCCGATCTCAGCAGCGAGATCGGTGGCTCCCACTGTGGTCGCCAGATTGTTCGCGGGGAAAATCGTGTTCTTCATTGATTCCATTGCACACTCTTGTAATAATTTATCGATTACAAAGATCTGGTCTTTTTATAAGATCCGGTTACAACGAAATCAAAGAAAAAGAAAAAAGATTACAACTTTCCTTTCGAACGAATTGCAAGCTCCTGTTTTGCGGTCACTCGCTTTATGGGTTCTTCGCCTGCGCCGGGGTTTATCCGTGGACCACCGCGCGATCTAGATCCGGTCGGATCTACGCAGTATGACGGGTATTATTTCGCCAAGAAAATAATAGCCGAGGGTATTATTTCGCCAAGGAAATAGTAGCATTTAATTCTCGGGATCAAAGGCCAAGCTTTGATCCGGAGGATGACTACGTAGATCTGAGATCCGGTTCCTCTCGAACTCTTGCCTTATTTGGCGTTGACGATCGCCGAGCACCGGATCTGGAAGAGCAAGTCCTCAAAGTCCCAAAGCTTCAATCTTTTTAAGTTCTGAGCCTTGAATCCAGCAGAGCTTCGCCTCCAAAAGTTCCAACCCCCAACAAATGAACCATGCCCTCATATTATAGGTGGCTCGGCCCCCTAGCCACCTATAGGTGGCTCGACCACCGAGCCACCTAGAGGTGGCTCGGTTTTGGCCGAGCCCCCCCTTGGTGTTGGGTTTCGTCGTTTTGTCGTTGTATCCGTTTTTCGGTTCTGTTCGTGATTTGGTTGTGTGGTTGATTTGTTCGGACTCGATTCGTTGACCTGATTTGGCAGTAAATCTGGTTCCTGATTTGGCAGTAAGTCCGTTTCTGAATTCGAGTCCGAAACTGATCTTGATTCGATCGTGATTCGTCCGAGTCCGCTCTTGGTTGGATGACTCGTTGATTCCTCAACCCGTTAGCTTGATTCCGCACGCGAGTGGATTTATTCCGTTATTTGCGTGCGGTTCGTTAGCCTCGTAGCCTCATTAATCCGCTCCGTCACGTATCGCTTGGCTTTGGTGCTGTGGATTAACGATCGTACGTCGCCCAATGGTCGGTTTGTCGAATCGGCGTCGTCGAGTTGTGTTAAGGGACCTATAAGCAGTTTTATACGTCTACAATAATAAACATGCTACAACGACTGGTTTTGAAAAGAACTTCCCAAATAAAAAATATCATCATTTTGCAAGATAGTCCAAAACACGAAAATGTAAACATGTGAATTTTGACATTTTGGCTAAACCAACTTTTGAAACTTTACAAAATAATTTTATAGACTTGAAGAAAGATGTAAACTATTGTTATGAAGTCTATAAACAATGAATGTAGTATTTTATCAAAATACACATATAATGCACTAAAACATGATTTCATTTAACTAACTAAAATTGATATTGATGAAATCATATTTATGCATATGAGTATGAAACGAAAATATGTTTTCTAATTATATTCAATTGTTTCATAGTAAAACTTGAAAACTATCAAACCAAAACATATATGTATATATATAACTATATATATACAAAAACCAAAACGTGTATGTGTGTATATAATTGAGCTTAAAGTACTAACACACATAATATAAATTCCTAAACTAAATTACCCAAGCAATGATCTTGATCTTCAATAAGCTTGACTTGGTAATCTCACGGATGAAGCTTGAACTTGGATCTTGAACTTTGAATAGCAAGGCTTCACCGATATTCCGCCAACCTCCTTTGGATATGATCGTTGAAGCTCTATTCCATCCATCCTCCAACTACGTTGTTTGTCTACAATACATAGGAATGCACAAACACTAGACAAACAACATTAGTAGTAAATTGTTTGTAAATCATCATTAAAATAAGAAGGCCAATAACCTGTACCCGTTGTCGTTCTTGCAGAACCCACTGGCGAGGTAGAGACAAGGGTGGCGGAGGTAGCGGTGGTGTTGGAGGTTTCGAGTGAGGTTAGAGAGAGGGTGGAAGAGGAGATGAGTTTGTAGGAAGAGGAGTAGATCTAGAGAAGATCTGGAGAAGAAGAAGAGGGTAGTCTGGGAATTTTTTGTCTTGAAAATTGTAAATGGGGCTGATTCACATGGATTTTTCATTTTTGGGGAAAAAGCACATTAGAAAAAGTTCAAAGGGCTGGGACACATCAACAATTTAGTTTTGGGGCCTTGAAGCAATTTTTCCTTATTTGAAAGGAGAATTGAACTGCTTTCTCCTACTAAGGGGCTGTTTGGTTGTATGTTTTTACCATGTAAAATGATGGAAAGTGTAAAAAAGTGGGTCTCAATGTGTATGTTTTTACCATGTAAAATGATGGAAAGTGTAAAAAAGTGGGTCTCAATGTCAGCTTTCATCACTTTCAATTGTTTGTTTGTAGTTGTGAAAATAGTGTAAAGTGATTTCATATGCTGATGTGGCTTGTAAAGTGATTTCATAAAAAAAAGACATGATTTTAGGAGAAAGCTAACATTGAAGTTAGGAAAAAATAATAAAAAATAATTTCAACCAATATGATCATTTGAGTAGGGACCACTTTTTACACTTTCCAAACAAACAATTAAAGTTACATTTGTAAATCAAACAAGCAATTTATGATTCCAATGGAATAAAAAACAAACAAAGAAAAGTATACAAGTAAAATTGATGAGGTGGACAACAACTTTCCAAGTTGTGTCATAAATACACAATTTTACCAACAACAACCAAATAGCCCCTAATTTCATCGTGGGGAGTTTGCCACATGCTTCAAAATCTGTGGATCGATCCAAGCAAGAGTACTAGTTTTGAGTCACAAACCAATCAGCTAGCTAGCTAGGTCACACTAATTTTTTGAGAAATCCTTAAAGGAAGTGTGGATTAATTGGACTGCCGGGGGAAATAAGGACTGCTAGATGGAAAGAGATGTTACTTTTTGTGCTCTTATTTGGTGCATATGGCAGGAGCGTAATGATAGACTCTTTTCTAACAAGAAGAAGAGAGTGCTGGAGATTTTGAATAAGATTATGACTTTTTCTACATTTTGGCTAGGTTCTAAAATTACAGATAGAGCGGCCAGATTGCAAGCGCGAAGAAGGAAGAAGAACGAGAGATTGGGAGACTTACAGTCAGTTGGAGCTGCAGGAGAGGAGAGAAGTGTGGTGATTCAGCTGGATTAATCTCAATATGCAGTGGTTTAGTTGATATTTTGATGAGTAAGACTGTTGTTGAATATGATACTTACTTTTGTGGTAGTTAAGTTTTCTTTTGGGAGCTTTAACCTTTGTACAAAAGTGTTCTGGTACTTTTGTGTTTTCAGTTGAATTTATGTGCACATTTTTGGTTGGAATGTGCACATTATATGTAACAACTAGTTTACTAATTTAACTGACTAGATTATTATATTGTAATCCATCCTTTTTCTAAAGAAAAAAGAATACTAATGTGATGTTCAGATTTACTTCAAATTTATTTTTCAGGGCACCATGCTTCAGATACGATGAAATAGCTACATCAGCAGTAAAACCAAACGTGAATGGTATAGGGTCCGTCAAAAACTTACTTACCAATCATCGGGGCCGAATGAAAATTGGCAAAAAAAGAAATAAGGGTGCTGAATAAAATTTGCCAAAAAGAAATAAATGGGCTCAGAGCAGGGTTCAGGGTCCGAACGCCGCATGACCGCACCATCGAGTCCGGTCCTCGTGTCAAGGGCGCCGCCCAAGCACCGCAACACGGCACGCGACCTTTGTAATTGCCTCAAAATTTACTTCCCTCTTTAACTCTCTCACGCTCTCTCTCTCTCTTAAATTACTTCCTTCTACTCGCTTCTCTCTCTCCATCTCTCTCAATCTCTCTCCATTTAGCAACCTCTACAGCTGTAATATCTCTTAATTGAACTCAAAGTTGGAAGAAGATCACCGCAATGATGCCATGCCATAAGTAAATAAGCATTTACATATACATGTTTATCATTAAATAGTACTAGAGAAAGGGAGGGGAGTTAATTGGCTTTTAGTTTAGATGTGTTTATATATCATTATATAGACGAGAGGGAGGGGGGGAGAGAGAGAGAGAGAGAGAGAGGGAGGGAGGGAGAGAGAGAGGAGTTATATAAGTTAGCTTGTAGCTTCATCATGAGAGATTCTCCTTCATCTTCTTCCTCTTCTTTTTGGAGGAGTATCGCAAGGTCTTCTTCCACTTGGGTGGTTGTAGTTGTTCTTGTTCCTCTCTTAGTGGTCTCTTTTGTTGCTTTTCGTTTTGATTCTAGTTCGTCAACTTCTTGGCTCTCCTCCTCCTCCTCCACTTCTTCTTCTTCTTCTTCTTCTTCTAATAATATTAATGATAGTAGTAGTTTTGTAAGTAGTATTAGAGGTGAAGAGGAACATGAGAATTTTCATATGGATATAGTTTTGGAGAAAGAAGGAGGTGAACATGCGAAGTCAGCTCTCCAAAATTCTTCTCTTGATGATCAAGTCTCTCGTGTTCTTATGTCTCCTTCGGCTTCTCCGAGCCCGGCACCGGAAAATGTAAGAACTCTTCAGTTTATTTTATGGTGTTCCTTTTCTTTATTTTTTTCTCCTACATCCTTGGGCAATAACAATACATGTATCCCAATGGCTTCTTTTTCCTGTTTCTAATTATTATTATTTTTATTTATTATTTACTCTCTTTGGAATAAACTATGATCATGTAGGAATTACAGGAGAAAACCCCCTTTTTTTCATTTGTTATTCACTTAAAACTTTTTCTATGCACTCATAATTCTTACTTTTGAAAGGATAGTTTTTTTTTAGAGAACAGTAATATTCGGTAGCAGTACTTTTATTATTTATTCATTTATGTCGAGAACAACGTTTATTATTATTTTTTTCTAGTACTATTGCTGATTTTTGGATCAAAGGAGAAAGCGTCCACTAGGTGCACATGCAAAGACTTGAAACAAGGGTAAAACTCTGAAGGGAAAAGAAGACCAAGAATATAATGTCAGTCGATATAATTTAGGATATATATAGTTGAGTGACTAGTGATTATTAACTCAAACATGGCCATCTAAACCATTTGTAAGGATTATAAGTATGTACTTTTAATAACTTTTAAATTTGAATTATTAAGTCTACATATATTAGCTAGGAATAACTTACCTTAGTTGGCTAAATATTAAAACACACTTATAATTAGAGTCCTTCCACTGCACCATAACTTCGAAGTTATGCCGACAACTGAGAGATCCATAATTTTATACTCTAGAATGCCCCTAGGTTTAGAATCCTTTTTACGAATAAAATCAAAATACTATTTCTTCTAAAATCTATTAATTTAAATATGTCTTCAAAGAGAAGGCTCTTGCGCAACATTAAAACTTTGAAGTCTAAGTTGTGGTGATGGTTAAGAACTATTACCTTTTTCCTCTTAATTATTGTTTTATCTAACTTTTACTTAAATAGTGCTGCCACCTCAAGTTATTTTGCAACTGGGTTTTATGGGGGAGGGATATTTGAGGAAATGACTCTTGAGAGGTCACCCTTTTTGTCCAACCTGAACCTGATTCCATCTTTATGGTCCATCTTTATAGTTTAGCACCATGATGGTCCACAAATATACCCATTGATGTTGAGCCCTTTTCAGCATTTTGTGTTGGTACTGGGGCCAAGTTTATACCACATATACGAAGGCAAGGAGAAGATTTTAATTGGTCTATTTATCCTGATAGGGACATCATGAAGATAAAGAACCCGTCATTTTCTTTTTCTTTTTTTATTTATTTATGGTGTTCTTTTCCTCACCAGCGAGTTTTCTATTATTGCTTTTTAGTTTGAGGGTTTAGCGTGACGAAGTTTGCCATTTGTGGATGAGATGTTTCGAAGAATTTTCCCTCTATTTAATTAATGACCTAGTACAATAAGTAGTGACCTCAATGGGCCTGATAATCCTAGCTTAATCGAACCAAATGTTTAGACTTGGGTCCCTGAAATCATTTCACATTGCTTAATTGGTGGAAGAGTATGGGTCGTAGAAATAATCATTTTACTGGGTTTATATGGATTCATAAGAATGCAACCACTAGCGAGATAGCCTGCTTAGTAGTTATACGCACTAACAGTTAAATTAGATAGAGTTAATCAGCTAATCCATATTCTTATGTTGCTAAGCACACATTAGAAATTGAGTTTTCCTATTATAGACCTCATCTCTGCTGAAGTTAAAGTGACACGATCTTACATGCATTAACTTTGACTAGAATTGGCACATTAGGAAGCTTATGAAACAGGGATAGATGTGCAAACCTGATTTTGACCTTTAATCTTTTCAGTCTTTCTAAAGCTAGATTAGTAGCAGGTTTGAAGAAAAGTCAAATGTAATGCTACATGTTATGTTGGTGCATAATTGGACCATTTGCCCATGGACCAGTCAAATCATTAATTGACTATCACTACGCTATAGCACGTAATAGATAAGATTCAGATAGATATGCCTCATACAGGTCCATCCCTATAATATGCAAGACAATTCTATTATAAATATATAATATATATATATATATATATATATATATAATATATATATATTATATATATATATATTTATATATATATATATATATACTATATATACACACCACACAGACACACACATCAATTTGCCCATGTTGGTTAGCGCTTTAGTGCAAAGAGTTGCTTCGTCGAATGTGCAAAAAAGTCTTCCTTTATTTTATTTTATTTTACGGTCACAGTTACCACTAATTCGGAACAATGTACTAATAAATGCTGAAGTCCATAATTGATTTTGTTTCAGGAATATTTAGACAAGGTGTAGCATGTATCCTTAGACTATAGGCCAATGCAAAGAGTAACTGCGCCATTTATCTACCTAGCATATATAGCTAGTTCTATACTCCTATTTATATCATCCACATGTAGTGTGTTAATAATCAGCCAGTGAAGCTTTTATACGTCTTCTTTTGGTAAAACACCTTCAATCCTCCTTTTCATCAGGCTAAGACGATGCCAATGAGACCACTCTTACAAGTGCTGATGCCCGTGTTGACATGGGTACTATGAATCCATCACTAGTAGATGGACTGAAATTGTACATAATTTTCCCCTTTCTCTGATCAGAGAAAATGATGGATTTTTACGATAGCGTAGATCCCAATTTCATGAGTGATTTAACAGCCATTTAAGAGAAAAATTAACTTTAATTTGTACATAATATCATTTTATATGATCATTGTACATATATTTGTGCATGTAGAGGGTTACTGCCAAAATATGTGCCTTAAATTATTCTAAATGTGGTGAATTTCGGAGACATAATAGAGCACCTGTACATTGTGCAACACGTGGATTGATATTAGGAGGGACTTCATTGTATTGATAATGCTTGCTCATGGCTGCTATTGGTGAGCTATCCATTGATTCCTACAACACATGAAGTGATGTGAGCTGAACTTCTGAAGCATTTAATTTTCACCCCTCTAATTCAGAATAGGCACAAGTTAAGATTCACATAATTTTGTTGCCATGAGAGTTCATATTAGAATTTTAGGTTGTCTTTGGGTCTCATCCGAAAAAAAATGTCTTTCCTTGTGTTTTCTTTATAGATTGTTAGATAGTAAGAAGGCTCAATTCTTTATTATTTTGTTATAAACTTGGTCTTTCATTTTGCAAATTGCAATATGCTAAAACTTTGATCTTTTGTTATAATTGACAGTCGGGGTTCTCTGAAAGCTCTGAAGCAAAGGTTTCTCATTCAAAACCCAAAAGTGTGAAGAGAAGAGACATTAAGCTAGAGAGAGTAGAACTTGGTCTTTCAAGAGCTCGTGCTGCGATTCAAGAAGCAACTCGAGTTCCAAGTTTCAAGTCCTCGATAGAAGACAAGGATTATGTTCCTCAAGGCCCCATATATCGCAATGCCTATGCATTTCATCGGTATCAAGCAAGGACCTTTAAAATTGCAACCTTAAAGCTATATCATGATTTAAGCTACAATTAGGCATCTTTATAAAAGATGGGACACATTGAGGAAAAACACATTTACATTTCTTCCAAAATTATGCAGGAGTTACTTGGAGATGGAGAAGTTGTTTAGGATTTATGTTTATGAAGAAGGAGAAGCTCCATTGTTTCATGATGGCCCATGTAAAAACATATATTCGATGGAGGGGAGATTCATATATGCCATGGAGATGGGAAGCAAGCTAAGGACGAAGGATCCAGACCGAGCACACGTCTTCTTTCTTCCATTCAGCGTTGTCGAGATGGTCAAATTCCTTTACCAGCCAAACACTTATGATCTTAGACCATTGAAACGGACCATTGTCGACTATATCAATGTAGTTGGTGGAAAATACCCATATTGGAATAGAAGCCTCGGAGCAGATCATTTCATGCTCTCATGCCATGATTGGGTAAGTAAGACCCTTGATTCCTTTGGAATTTCAGCTCAATTTGGTTGTTTATTTTTGTACATATTTCACTAGAACCTTTTCAGGAAAATGTCACCTGCAAATGCAAATAGCAAACAAAAACTTTAAGGGGCTTTTTACTTATATTTCAATTGTTTGCTAGTTGAATTGTTTTGAGCAGGTTGATTAACCTTATGTTTTGCCGTAGGATGAACATAAAAAAATTTCTACCACCTACTAATTTTGTAACCACATAAGCATGATATCCTTGACCCATATGGGATATAGACTGTATACTGTTCCAGTAAGTTCTCTCAACCTTGATCTTCTACTAAAGAACAGCATTAAAATTCTCCGGGTGACATCATGTTTCTATTTGTTTGTTTCGTTAAACATTTTCATTCATGTGTATGAAAAAAAAGTAGACGGATCAACTGAAACTTCCATTCTCCATTCATTATTTTCTCTGACATTCTAACGGTCACAGGGGCCTCTCGCATCCGCTGCATCATCATACCTCTACTCCAATTCCATCCGAGTCCTCTGCAACGCCAATGCATCCGAGGGCTTCAATCCCTCAAAAGACGTATCTCTACCCGAGATCAACCTCAAGACTGGAGTCACCACCGGACTCATCGGAGGCCCATCTGCTTCTCGTCGCCCATTACTTGCCTTCTTCGCTGGTGGGGTCCATGGCTACATCCGGTCCATCCTCGTTAAACAATGGCAAGGCAAAGATGAAGATGTCCAAGTCCATCAATACCTCCCTAAGGGTGTATCCTACTACGACATGATGAGAAAGAGCAAGTATTGCCTCTGCCCGAGTGGATATGAGGTCGCTAGTCCGAGAATAGTTGAAGCAGTATACCTCGAGTGTGTGCCAGTTATAATCTCCGATAACTATGTGTTGCCTTTCAGCGATGTGCTTAATTGGAAGGCATTTTCGGTACAGATTGAAGTTAAGGATATACCCAATATCAAGAAGATATTATCAAGCATATCGCCAAGGCAGTACATCAGGATGCAAAGGAGGGTGAAAATGGTGCAGAGGCATTTCGTGATAAATGAATCTCCACAGAGGTTTGATGTGTTTCATATGATCCTTCATTCTATATGGCTTCGGAGGCTCAATGTTCGGATTCAGGGTTCAGATTATAGTTAAAAATGCTTGTAAAATGTAATTGATTTATGTTTGTTGTTTTCATGTGTGTTGGTAATGGACACTGAGCATTCTTGCTGATTGTGTATCAGGGTAAATGTTGAGATATATTGTTCAGTGAATAAAGTGATGCCTTTGATGTTTGTCTTTGTTTGTCCGTTTTTGTTTGAGGGTTTCGTTGATGTTACTAGTTTGCTAGCATTAGTATTATTGTTTTGAAAAAACATTAAAAAAAATCCTAGATACATACAAACTAAAAAGTATATTGTCGTATATGTGGATATGTGCATTGTGTTCATCCGAAACGTCCTTATGTTCGTGTTATAATTATAGATTCAAGTCACCAACTTTATGATGTGTTATGATATGCTTTCTGTGGTTTATGTATCTGCATTTTAAGGCTTTTAAATTCTTAATAAGTATTGACCTTTTATTTTATGGAACACGAAAGATAACACTACTGAATAAGACCTAATTGGCTTTCATTATTTGTTGTTATCTTCCGTACCTCCTGTGACAAATACTTATTTCATGATGATGTATCTGACAGATAGCTGTAAGGGTTAATTATAGAAAGGGAAAATGGCTAGATAGCCCCCAAAACCCTTCCCCAAGTGACCCGACGTGTAAGAACAATAAAATTTTTCCAAAATGCCCTCAAGCATCCGGTACTCTATCAAGCCTGATATAGGAGAGTGAACAGTAGTACTGTAGCATTAAATGGTGATTAGAATGTGGTTTTGGAGGAGAAAAACCTCATTTCCCTCCAAATTATTACTATTTCCTTGCCTCCCCCGCTATAAATCCATCTCCTCCCCCTTTGCTTACCCCAATTACTCTCTCCGGCCACTTAATTCTCCTCAATAACTCATCTTCATTTTTTCAACTACTCTTCTTTAAAATGACGGATGGATCCCTTCTTTGCATGGTTACAAACACAAAAAGCAACGAAGAGGGTGAGGGTATTTTCGTAGTTATCAACGAGTCTACAGAAATTATTAGCTTGAAATATCAATTGCCCCAAAGGCTTAAACTACCATTGCAAAAATAAATATTAAAAAGGGAAAATAAGTTCAATTTTTTCAATTGATAATGACGACGACTTGATGTTGATGTTCGAGTATTGTCGTCGTAATGGATATACAGACATAAACTTGTATGCTACATTCGCTGGGGAATCCTCAACTATTCAGAACACCCAAACTTCTCCAGAAAATGTGTAAGCATCACTTTTAATTTCCGTATGAGTTCGTTGACAGGTTTTGAGTTGGTTGTTAACCTTATGCATTGGTTGATGAGGTTACGAGTTGGTTGTCAAGGTTATTAGTTGGTTGTTAAGGTTATAAGTTGGTTGTCAACCTTTATGTGATAGTTTTAAGTTGGTTGCTAAGGTTATGAGTTCGTTGTTACGTTTACTAGTTGGTTGCTAGAGTTATGAATTTGTTGTTAAGGTTACGAGTTCGTTGCTAAGGTTATGAGTTGGCTATTAAGTATATGAGTTGGTTGCTAAGGTTATTAATTTATTGTTAAGGATATGAGTTTGTTGTGAAGATTATGAGTTTTTTGTTAAGGTTACGGGTTTGTTGCTAAGGTTACGAGTTTTTTGTTAGGGTTATGTATTGGTTGTTAACCTTAGCAAATATTTATGAGTTTTTATTAGCCTTATGAGCTGGTTGCTAAGGTTATAATTGGTTGTTAAGTATTAATATTTTTTTACTTTTACAGGACCATCCCCACAGAAAATTCGTGAAGCGCAACAGCTCCGCTCACCCAAATTTGTAATGATGAGCGTATTCCTAATGACAATCCCACTAGCAACTCGATCACGATGATGGAAGACATGATTAACAACCAAACCAAGATTCCAGCTGAGTGACACACATCCATACGTGAAATTGCTCATAAATTTGATAGTGCTGCTAAAATTAGATTAGCTCTTCAATACAATTCAATTGTGAAAAGGTTCGAGTATGATTTTTACCATAATGAACAAAGACATGTAAGAGTCCATTGCCGATTCAGGCACACGCTGGGTTGCCCTTGGATGTTGTTTGCTTCCTGTTTGGGTGGAAAATCGATTTCATTGATGAGTCCATTACAGCTTCAAACACTTACAATAAACTCGAACAACAAATATAGCCTTTTTATAAGACTTTAAATCAAAAGTTACAATTTTCTCTCAAACTACACACAATAGAAGTTTATCGCCTATTGCTTGTGCGGGATCGTTGCCGGTGCCGGGGTTTATCCGTGGACCGCCTACGGATCAGATCCGGTGAGCAGAAGTTTGGATAATCAGTGCTTTCGCTTCACGAAGGAAGTGATTGCAGTAGCGGCGATTTTGACTAAGCAAAATCACGGCTCTTCTCGGGATTTAAGACTAAGCTTAAATCCGGAAGGAGGAGTGGATGAGTCTCAGATCTCTCGAACTCTTGCTTTGTTGAAGAAACTCCGCCAAGATCTGCTAATCTCTGAAATTCAGTGCTCATCTCCAATTTGACAGCATTCACCGCGTTGATTTCCAGATCTTCAAAAAGAACACCCAGCCCTATTTAAGGCTGGTTGTGGTTTTCTTTGATCAAAACGAGGGGATTCCCTCTATCTTCAGTTAGAACTGTCTAACACAATATCAGAGCAGTTGGAACCCCCCAAATCCTGAAAGAATCCATAAAAGAAACCGAAAAGAACCGATTCTGACAGTTTCACCGAAGTGCTCGGCCTTGCCGAGCACCAAATGTGGTTTGGCCTAGTGGCCGAGCCACTGCGTCTGACCGGACTGTTTCGACGCGTCCGGTCAGCCAGCGTGCTTCGCAGATTCCTAGAGTTCGGCTCGTTCCGTCGTTTGTATGTATCTCAATTGCTTCGTCGATCGGTACGCTTCCTTGATTCGCTTTCGCCACTTTTCTTGAATGCCGCGCGACGTTTTGACGGTGGCTGGGCTAATTTCTGGGTTATTTGGCTTGCCGTTGCGATGGCCAGCGAATACGCGAGTCACTCAGAACTGGCTAACGAGTGCGTGGGCCAGTTAGAAATAAGCTGTGAGTGCATGAGACATCTAGTTCATCATTCTGGTGATCGTTGAGTGTACGAGCCACTTGATGAATCTTCTCAATTTGGATGACGATGTTTATCGCCTCCTTTTCATCTCGAGCCGCATACGGGAACTTATAGGCATTTTTAGACGCCTATAGATACCCCCTCCAAAGTGTTTCAGCCTCATTCCTTTAAAGAGGAGTCTGAAATACTTTGGACGTGATAGGCCTACACCTTCAGTCGGTATTAAAGGACCTATAACCGATTTCAGTTCTTGACTTCTTCACATTTCAGTCTGTTCAGTATTTTATCGAACAGTTGCAATGCTTCCGGTGCTGCGTTTATCGTCTGACCGTTGCCGAAGTCTCGAATCGGAATTTGGTGAGTTAATTTTGGCTCGTCTCGCTGAGTTGACTTTTGGATTAACTATCTGCATCGCAACGCGTTGACCGGCGTTGACCTAGGGCTACGCGTTGATCCGCGTTGACCTTAGGGTTTCGAATCGATCGGCGTTGACTCTCATCGCAACGCGTTGACCGGCATTGACCTAGGGCTACGCGTTGATCCGGCGTTGACCTTAGGGTTTCGAATCGATCAGCGTTGACTCTCATCGCAACGCGTTGATCGGCGTTGACCTAGGGCTACGCGTTGATCCGGCGTTGTCCTTAGGGTTTCGCATTTACATGAGGAGAACCAGTTTATACTCGTGTACTCCTGGGAGTTTCGGGAATTAGTTTAACCTCGTGTACCCGTTGGAGGTTGCCGGGTTATCCTTAAGAATATTACGCGTAATATTTTCCAGGAACTTCCCGTCAAATTTAAGAAACAGTTTAGACTCGTATTTCCATTAGAGTATAAATACGGGCGTCGAATACATCGAGAAACACCTGAAAATGGTTCAAAATGCATATGAATTATCCCCGGATTCCTCCCACGCACGCGAGCCCACATTTCGCGGCTCACACGCGTATGAATCAACAAATTAGGTTTGGGTTCGGTTCAGACCGGTCCGGTTCAGGCCGGTTCGGTTCATGTGGGTTCGGTCCAACAAAAACAACAAGAAATCTCCAATATAAAGCCAATTTTCCTTCTCTTCTTCTTTCTTTTCCTTTCTTCGGTTCCAGCAAGAAATTCCGCCTCCCCCCTTTATATTTTTTTCTCTTGTTTTCGGTTTCAACCAAAAAAATCCGCCCACTCCTCTTTCAAACTCCTTCTTCTTCAAGAGTTCTAAGAATATTCTTTCTCCCCTTAAACCTTTCTTCTTCAAGGCTTCAAGCAAATATAGTTGGGTTTGGAAGATTTTAGGCTCCATCATCAACAAGGCTTCCTCTTCAACACTTCCCCAAGCTTTGGTAAGATCCTCTCTCCCTCATAACTTCAATTTGATTTCCCCTCTTTTGAACAACACTTCCCCAAGCTTTGGTAAGATCCTCTCTCCCTCATAACTTCAATTTGATTTCCCCTCTTTTGAATTCTTCAAAATCCAAAACCCTAGTTCTTCAATTTGATTTCCCCTCTTTTGAATTCTTCAAAATCCAAAACCCTAGTTTGTTGATTTGGGGGAAAACTCAAATCTTCATTTTTTTTGGAATGTTGGCCGAAATTTGAAAGATGGGTTCTCTCATCTTTGATTGCAAAATATTTTCCTAATTTCATGCATACATATATGGCCGAATTTGGGGCTGAATTATCGGGGGTTTTTGTGCAAAAAGATGAACTAAAATCTGAGGGCTTTTGCGTAAAAATAGTTGAAATTGTTGAGGGTGATATGTATAATAACGAGGCTGAAATTTTGGGGGTGTTTTGTGCAAATATGAGGCTGAAATTTGAAGGTGTATGTGTAAAAATAGGGCTGAAATTTGAGGGTGTTTTGTGCAAATATGGGCTGAAATTTGGAGGGCTTTTGTGCAAATTTGTGGCTTGAGATTTGGTTGACAACTTTGAACCTGTATATAGCCGAATCCAAGTTGATGTTAGTCTGAATTCTTGTACATGATTGAACTCGAACTTGTATATAGCCAAGCTCTTGTATTGTCGAATTCATATGTAACTGAACTCGTGTATGCCTTGAAACCAAACTTGTATGTTTGATTTTCCTCTCGTTTTAACTT